GATGGATGGATGGATGGATGGATGGATGGATGGATGGATGGATTGAATGGATTGAATGGATGGATGGATGGATGGATGGATGGATGGATGGATTTGGATGGATGGATGGATGAGATGGAATGGAATGGATGGATGGATGGATTGGATGGATGGATGGATGGATGGATGGATTTGGATGGATGGATGGATGAGATGGAATGGAATGGATGGATGGATGGATGGATGGATGGATGGATGGATGGATGGATTGAATGGATTGAATGGATGGATGGATGGATGGATGGATGGATGGATGGATGGATTTGGATGGATGGATGGATGAGATGGAATGGAATGGATGGATGGATGGATGGATGGATGGATGGATGGATGGATTTGGATGGATGGATGGATGAGATGGAATGGAATGGATGGATGGATGGATTGGATGGATGGATGGATTGGATGTATGGATGGATGGATGGATGGATGGATTGGATGGATGGATGGATTGGATGGATTGGATGGATGGATGGATGGATGGATTGGATGGATGGATGGATGGATTGGATGGATGGATGGATTGAATGGATGGATGGATGGATGGGATGGATGGATGGATTGAATGGATGGATGGATGGGATGGATGGATGGATTGAATGGATGGATGGATGGATTGAATGGATGGATTGGATGGATGGATGGATGGATGGATGGATGGATGGATGGATGGATTGGATGGATGGAAGGATGGATGGATGGATGGATGGATGGATGGATTGGATGGATAGATGGATGGATTGGATGGATTGGATGGATGGATGGATGGATGGATTGGATGGATGGATTGGATGGATGGATAAACATGACCTAGCATATTAATTATCAAACTTAAGAAACCACTTAGCTCTATGGGTTAACATTACATTAAACTGTCAGGTAGTTGGTTTTGACATTGGCTGTCATGAAGCCATTATAACTTTTTAATGACAAATTCAATTTGTACCACTGTAGTTGAGGTCACGAAAAATATTCATGACACAGTTATAATGGCCTCATGACAGCCAGTGTCAAAACCAACCACATGACAGTTTAATTTAATTTAATGTCAAGTTGTCATAACAAAGATATCTTAAACAATGTCATATTTGCATTCAGAATGTCATTATTGAGCGAAAGACACTTAATGACAGTTGTCATAAACATGCATAAACCCTACTTCATATTCATGACATATGTCATGTCATGTCTTATGCACACCCCTTCAAGTAAAGTGTTACCAAAAGTTAAATATGACAGTACATGCAAGTGAGATGAATTAATGTAACCACATCAACCACATAAATGTATCCACTAACCATTCAGAAACGTCCAGTTGCATCTAAGGTTAACCTCTTCCTGAGTCTCTCTGTAAGGCTGTTCTCGCTAGTGGTTATTTATGAGATTTAACTGAAATTCGCGTTTGTGCTTGTGTAAAGGATCGGCCTCTTCTGAACGGAGGCGGAGCAGCAGCTCATTTGCATTTAAAGGGACACACACAAAAACAATTTTGGTCACACCCAAAAAGGGGCAAATTGACAAGCTATAATTAATGATCTGGGGGTATTTTGAGCTGAAACTTCACAGAAACATTCTGGGGACACCATAGATTTATACTACATCTTGTGAAAGGGGCATAATATGTCCCCTTTAATAACAAATAACCACTTTTGGTCAGGTATAAGAATAGTGACTTACTCTATGATGCTGAAAACTATATCACCTGATCATCTTTTTTTCCAGCTTTCTTTACAACAAATTGCGTGTTTTGGTAAACACTGTTACAAAGACCACAAACTCACATCAAAGGCCAAGAGTCAAACTGCTCAAATAAAGGAAACACTGATCACCAAATATTTCAATAAAACATCAACACCTAAACCTTTGTTAATTCTCAATAATAACTTCTATAGCTGTATGACTGAAATAAAGTCAATCTGGTTAGTAATAAGTAAAGCTGGTAATGCTGTTTGTGGAGTTGTTTAATCCTCTGCTGAGATCTTCAGCTGAAGATAAAAGAAGACATTAAATCTCTGATTTCATCTAAGGCTGAAGCTGGAAGTCAGTTGTAGTTCTTGTGTTTCTCTTTCCTTCATTGATTCTGCTTGTTACCAGCAGGTGTTCATCACTAATGCTCAATAATCACTTAATTAATCATTTTATTATCTCATTAACTTTAACACGGATTCAGAGTTACTTTAAATCTCTGTAGAGTGGGACCAAATGTTCTCGGAGCAGAGTTTGTTTAACTGGGGATTCAGCTGTGTAGCAATATTAGTTGACTTGTCTGACTGCTATTGTATCTCAGATGAAAGAAAGTGAACAAGAAACTGAAGCAGTGCCATCTGAGCGACTACATGGCCATGTGTTCTGTACTGGAGCTTGATGTGTCCTTTGTCAGGATATAATTCCTGCTCTCACCTTCAGATCAGAGCTTAAAAGGATTCAGGGTCTTGATTCCAATCATCTGCGCTCTCATTGTTGCTGTCAGCCCATAACTTTTCTGCTTGCCATGTTCCCATTTTTCTGGCAAGAAGTGATTAGGTGTGTAAGGTGTTTGTATAAAAGTGCAGCTCCTTTGCTTGAAAGAAGGCATCCAAAGCTTCGATAGACCTACCTATGAATGTCATCTATTAGAATGGGCAGAATTGGGCAATTGCAGTGACTTGAGTTGCTTCTTTATCAACAAAGTCCATCAGTTGCCCAATTTCCATCAAAAACCATTCCAGATCCTCCTTTACAGATGTTTGTACGCAGTTTTCTGATCTGCCATGGTACATTACATTCTTACATTTTCTCACATTTATTTATATAGCACTTTTCAAAATACATATAGTTTTAAAGCAGCTTTACACAAAATTTATGTTTCTAAAATTAAGAGCAATCTGTTCAGAAGTGACTGAGTCAAAGTAATGTCCTTATGGCAGAAATGTACAGGTCTGAGGTAATAAATCGTGCAGTTAGCTAACATCATGTATTCATTCTAGCAGAAACAATGGATTGTTAAAGCAATACTTAAAGCTGCAGTCTGCAGTTTTTTCTCTTTGTCGCCATCTCTGTTCGAAATCTGCAATTGCAGTTATTCGCGGAATTATCAACTTTACGTGAGTTGTACCTCGACACGGCACAGCGCTGATGAACACCGAGCGTTTGAGGAGACTGTGAGGCTGTCAGTCACCGCGCCGGTGTGGATACTGTCACAATCACAGATTATTCTTTTTGGAAGTATGACCAACATAATAATTTTCACCGGAAAATGTCATCTGAACTAGTAAGAAACATCCACTTTTGTTCTGGTTCTGACATTGCAGTAAATCGCGCTGATTAAATCTAACAATTGCTTATGATATCACACAAAACCGTGTAAATTATACTTTGTTCTCAAATTGTTAATGTTAACAACGTCAGCATTGTGTGACTACATGTAATGTCCTTCAGATATGTATCCTTGTTTTCGCATGGGTCCGGTTGCAGTCTCTTTTTTTCTGTAAGTTAGCCACTCCGAAGTCCGAACGAAGTCTTTTGCATTTTACAGCGGGTGAATCTGTTGTCACTGGTGATTGTCGTTTGAACCTTTGATAAGTTTTTGATAAGTGTTGTGAGAAAAGGCTATAAATCTCCACCTCCAACATCCTCACACGCAATATAGCCTACTAGCCGAGACTCTTCTTTATGTGTACAGATGTGTGTGTAGTACAGATGTGTGTGTACAGATGTGACGTAATGACGCAAACACATGCTCGAATTTCCAGTGGAAATCCACCAGTACCACTGGAATTAAAAACATTATTACAAGCTTACCGTTTTGAATCGAGCTAAGGCAAGCGGAGAGTTTTAAACACTGGCTGGTTATGTATTTTCTCAAATTTATTTTGGATAATTTTTAACCCCAAAAAGCTACGGACTGCAGCTTTAAGAAATAAACTGAAGGAAAAAACTGTCTTTAGGACCTAGCGGAACAGCCCATTTGCGCCATATAGCGCTTATAGTGCCCCATCTAATGGCAAGAGTCATGAAATATCATGTTATATTATTTTTTTCCATAAGAGGTCAGCAGAGACACCTAATGTGAGATATTTTGAGCTGAATTAAAAGGGTTATGCATAAAATGATGAGTTATTTTGAAATTAAGACAAAAGAATGTGAAGAATGTGCTTAAAATATATGCATTATTGATCAAATCTAGTAATTTAAGCGCATTAAAGGTTTTCTGTCAATCAAAACTAACTTTAGCTGGATAATAACTTTATTCTAGAGCTGCTGAAAGCCTAAACAATCTATGTTACTTTAATTTTCTATTATCACTGTAAAGCTGCTTTGAAACAATCTACATAGTTAAAAGCACTATATAAATGAAGGTGACTTGACTTAATTTAAAGGTAAATATTTTTATTTTTTTAAATACATTAAAAATAGAAAAATATTATCACAATGAAATGATAAATGCTTTCTGGACATTTTTTTAAAATAATTTTAGGGCTTCGGGTCATTTTGACGCGCGAGGGATGGATTTGTTACAGTTGCGGGAAGAGAGGATGAATAATATGAGGGAAATAAAGGTAAATGCAAAAGGGTTTATGAAATTAACCTGCAGCACATAAAAAAACTTAACTTGTGACAAAAGGCTGAGGACTTGATTTTCTCTGATCTCAGCGGGTTAGATTTGCTCAAATACCTGAAAGCCACACTAGAATAAAAGTATTTAAGTTAACAAGTAAATTTAAGAAGTAACTGTAGTAAGTACGAATATTTTTCGGGGGAAATTTATCGGAGTAAACGTTTACATTTTATTTAGGAAATGTAGTGGAGTAAAAGTAAAAATTGAAAGAAATAAAAACTCAAGTAAAGTACAGATTCTCAACAAAAAACTTAAGTACTGTAATGAAGTATTATTACCACCACTGGATTTGCTCAATGTTGCCATACCTTGATGAAGATGACTGCTGTACATTTAAAAAGAAAGCTAATCACACAAGCATCAATGACTGCCAAAACATGCTTTATTGCACAAAGCATAATAGTACCTCTTGCAGTATTTATGACACTGTACATTAAATATCCAAAGGTCTCTAGACAGTGGTTTTAAAGAGCGGATCCTCACTGACGACCTGCTTGAGGATCCCGTTCTCGATGGTGGAGGGAGCAGGGCACTCGGGGGACCTGGTGCTGGGGAAGGCCTGGATGCTGGGTTCCCTCTGTCCTGGGATCTGGGGGTCGGGGAGGAACGGGAGGGTGGAGGCCTGTGGAGGTCCTGCAGCAGGGCTCTCAGGGAACGCTGGAAGGGTCATGGGCTTGTCCACAGGAGGGAGGACAATGACCATCCCTTCAGGACGCCTCACTGGGGTTTGATGCGCATGTTCGTGGTGGTGGTGGTGGTGGTGCTCGTGCTCATGGAGGTGTCTGTGTTTGTGCTCGTGGTCCAGGACCAGCTCGTGGTCGTGCTCATGGGTCTCCTCCTTCTTGTGAGCGTACTGGTGGTGGTGGTGCTCCCACTCGCCCTGAGCGTGCTCATGGGCCTTGGCGTGATGGGCGTGAACATGCTCGTGGTCGTGAGAGTGGCTGTGTGCGTGGCCCTCGCCGTGAGAGTGAGTGTGTTCGTGGTCGTGTTTGTGTGTGTGGGGTTTGGTTTGGTCATGCTCATGGTCGTGTCCTGAAGATGAGCCTGTTGTGTTGCTGTGACTGTGATCCAGTTCACCTCCGATCAAGTGCTTTTTCTTCTGCTCTTCAGCCGCCTAAAAACAACAGTAAATGAAAATCTGAATAAAATCTAACACAGTATTAAAGAGTAACTTGGCTGATTTTTAAGTTTCAAAGTTTTATTGAAAGCCCATCTTGCAAGTGGTGAATTAGCCCTTTAAGAGAAGTGGTTTGTTTTGATCACAAACACACTCAAATGCTTCTGAAAATGGGTAATCTTTTACCTCTGGTTCGAAGATCTCACACTGAACACTGAAGTGCTCCTCGCCCATGGCTGGGACAGAGTGAGACGCTTTGCAGAATCCTTTGTGCTACACAGTGAAAGATCAGGACCATATGTGATAAACATTCCTTTTAAAAAGCTAAGACAAGCAGAGCATACGATGACTGTATTTCTATGCATCTCCCACAGATAAGTCTGGTAACTTACCGCAAACTCACATGCCATGACCTCACATTTGGAGAAATCAGCTACATCGGTTTTGGAAGAGCAGGCCGTCTCTTGGATGGTGAACTCCACAGTGTAGAATCTTCCGAAGTGAAGCTATAAAGACGAATCACATCGTATATCATATACAAACATCATATCCGCATACAATTTGATGAAGCTTTCTGTACAAAAAAAGTGTTCTTCCTCATTTTTTTCTCATGATGAGTAACTTGCTCACTTACTTACCGATGAGGACACTTTTGTAATGTTCAGAGGCACGAAGTAGTTGGCCAGCGCACTCTCTTTATTGTATTTCTCCATGCCCATCTTCACGGTCTTCAAGGCTTCTTCGTGGTCCTGAGGCAGCTGGACAGGGCAATCTGGGCAGCGTTCCCTGATTTTGGAGGCGGGCACTGCCGAGGGAGAGTCATGTTACTGCATTTGCCTTCTGTCAGCATATGAGGATAAACCGTGCTGGGGAAAGTTACTTTGAAAAATAATGCATTACAATAATTTCGTTAGTTACTTTTTAAGAAAAGTAATGTATTACGTTACTCTTGTGTTACTTTTTCTCACCTGGGCTGAGCTTGTTTTTTTTTTACAACAAATTTTGAGCAAATATAAAGGCCGTTTCACACCAAATTTGAAATTATAAGGCTGAGGGAAATGGAAATGTGCTATTCTGGATTGCAGAAGAATAAACTTTAACACTTCCCCAATAAAAACAAAAATTCAAAAGTAATTATACTTATGGTTTCACTGAATCATTGAAAGTCAGCAACCAGTACATTGGTCAATAAAGTAAGATTAAATACACACAAGTATTTGTTTTATTTAACACATTTAATTATTGGAGGTTTGAGTAGTATTCTGATTTTGCATTTCACAGATTTTTTTTTCCATTTTGAGGAAAACTGATTTTTTTTTTTTTGTGTGCAAATGAGATGAGTAAATGCATGTTCACATTTAGTCTAGATCTACAATCCATGTTCACATACAACGCCTCTGCACTTACTCACGATTACTCTCAACATGAGGACAGGAGAGCTTTCAGTCAATAAATGGGAAAACTAAGTAACTTCCATTACTTATTTGAAAAAGCAGTTTGGTTTAAATTTAAAAGTAATGCGTTATTTTAAGAGTAATCTGATTACGTAGCTCAAGTTACTTGTAACGCGTCACCCCCAACACTGATGATAAAACCCTGGTGTTTGGTTATTACCTGGCCTCACGGTACAGCTATATTTGTACAGGCGGGCGACTCTGTGAACTCTGTTCATGTACATAACTGCCTTGCACTGTCCATAGACCTGTCGGTTGAAAAGGCTGTTAAAATGCAGAACAAAACATCATTAACAACTTATGTTAGTTTTTTATCGATTACCAAACCATACTGGGTACTCTTCAGGGTTTCGGATTTCACAGTTTCTCCAGTTTTTCTTGCTGAGGACATGACAATTGGTCTCCAAAACATCAAGTGTCAAATAAAAGACAATCCCTGTTTCACCCTAAAAAAAAAAAAAAACACATTAGTAAAGATTGGTAAAAATGTGTTATATGTAAAATGTGAAGCCATTGCATCCCTTTAGATAGACATAATCAATAGGACATTAGGATCCCTAAAAAGTAGTTGGTTGAGATTAAATGACTTTTAATTAAATTTAAATCATTACTCTTTTAATACTGTCTGTTGACTTGGAATGTAAAAAAATAAGTATCCATATGAACACAAGAACCTGAAAATGACTCACATGCGTCATGTGATGGACACTGCTGAGGCGATCCAGGCTGAAGACGTAGCCCTCGGTGCGGTCCAGATTGATTTTGTTCATAGCTTCAGCGGCAGCACCGCTCGCTACAGCATCTTGGCAGGATCCAGGGGCCAACACGTCCACAGGGGCCCCGTGGACACACAGGAAAGCCATCATCAATGCCACACACTGCTTCATGGTGGAGCTGCGCTCGTTCTCCCAGACACAGATGCAAAACTAGATGCTCCATGGAAGCTAGTTTATATGTCATTTAAAAGCCACAAACCCCTCTCTCTTCTCCTGATTGGCTCCTGACGCCTGATTGAGTTTTAATCAACATCACAGGCCCCTTGCACTCACTCTGAGTGTGATCAAATGAATGATTGATTTAAGGGAGAGGGCAGGTTGCAACATGTTGTAGATCTGTATGGCTTACTGTTGGATGAAGAGTTCAAATACCTCCAGTGTTTGCAAACTGAGGTTGAACCCTAATCAAATCAATTGTGGATTTTGCAACACTTTCTTCTTATGTTGCAACATGAGGCCAGTGATTTTATCTCGCTGCACTGACAATATTGGAGGGTCAGGAAACAGTGCGTCCCCATGATTTACTACTGATTTAATTAACAGGACGCTGAACTTATTTTAACTCTAATAGTATTTCAAGATTTTTTTTTATTAAATAAAACATTTTGGTCACACTTTAGGTTTCCTAAATTACTATGCACTTACATCAAAAAATTAGTTCAATGTACTTTGTGTGTTGATTGTGTTGATGCTGTATTGCAAAACATTTGCTGCTATTGAGGTGGATACGGGTCAGTTTAGGGACAGGTTTGGTGGTATGGGTAGGTTTAAGGGTGGGTTAAGGTCAACAGTGTAATTAGATACTTATAGATATAATTATAGTTATAAATAACTGCTGTAATTACATACAAGTAATTTTTTAAAAATATAAATACGATGTAAAAACATGTATGTTGTTAGTTTGGACTCGCCATGTTTTGTCATCACCTGCCTTCATCACTCATTTGTTGTCACGGACACCAATCACGTTCAGCTGTGCACTCATCAGTCACCATCATTAACACCTGTATATATGTTCAGTTCTGTTTGAGTTCAGTGTCCGGTGTTGTCTATGTTAAGTGTGTGTTGCTATCTGTTTGCCTTTCTGTTGGCTCTTTAGAGAATAAACCTTTTGAATTGATTCTTATACGTTTTCCTCATCTGTCTGCCAGCAACCACCCGTGACAGAATACCCAGCGCTATCTCACGACCAATTCGTCCGAATTTGACGAGTGATTAAAAGATGGCTAATTCGTTCGAATTCGTTCGACCTCACTCGTACGAATTTGTACAATTTGTCTAAACCCACGTGATGGGTAGGTTTAGGGGCGGAGTCAGGGGTAGGTCATTCGTACGAATTCAAACGAATTGGGCAACTCGTCAAATATGTACGATTTAGCAAAAATCGTACTAATTCGTACGAGTGAGGTCGTACGAATTGTTACGAATTAGCCATATTTTAATCACTCGTCAAATTCGGACGAATTGGTCGTGAGATCAGGTTGGAATACCGGACCAAAGAAGTGAACGCGTTTGTTTTTTCTTTTCCATTTTTCTTTTGTTTTTTCATTGGGATCTCGCCCATCAGACCACCTTCTCGGATAACTGCCTTGTTGTCCGGGGAGGTTCCTCGAGGGAACTTCGCAACATGTGTGGAGAGGGTGCTGGCGTCCTGCGGATCTGCGTTCACCGTCGAGGATGCCGCCAGCCCCACTCCCCTTCCTGTGCCCAGCAAGAACCACCCAGACGACGAGGATCGACGACCTAGTTAGTGCGACGGAGACTGCCGCGATGAATGAGCCCGCGCCCACAAGAGCGACCGAGGACCACATCGCCACGGAGCCCGAGCAGCATGCGCCTGACCAGGTGTGTAAGCCAGCCGAGCCATCCATCGTCGAAGGAGTCCCCGCCCCCCGTTCTCCAACCGGCTACTAAGAGTGCGTTTTTGGCAAGAACACTTTTTTTATTATTTGGAGAGGATATTTGTCTAGCCCCTGTACTGCTGCCCGAACCTGTCAGTCCTCCACCTGTCTTGCTGGCCCCGCCCAGCCTCCCTCTCCCACCACCTCTCTAGTCTATTCAGAACACGCAATTCTTTTTGGTTTTAGCATGAAACTCCAGTCAATCCCTCAGTCTCCAGCCATCTCTGTCACCCTTCAGTCCCTCGGGACCGCCTCTGCCTCTCAGTAGCGTGGTACCACCTCGGACCTGTCGGGAACCATGTCCTCCTAGTAATGGGGAGCCAGAGGCTCCGCCCTCAGCCTCGGTGCGCTACGCGCTGCCTCAACCCTTTGCCCTAGCTCCCGCATTTGCGCTGCTTCCACCCTCGACCTCGGTGTGGACCATCGGCCATTCGGTCTCGCCGGACTCCCTTGGCACGTCAGCTCCATCGAGTTCAGACATCGCTTCACCTCCGCTGCGGACTTGCGGACCGCCCGCTGCTCTCTGGTCCTCCACCCCTTCTGTTACGGCTTGCTCCGCCCTGCCTCAGGCTCCACACCAACTTGCCCTCAGACCTCCGGACCCCCACCTGTCTCTCAGGAGGCCGTCGCTGTGGCTCTGTCACGGCCACCAGGATCTTCACTATCTCTCCACCACCTCGGCTCATCGACTGCATGGTGGCCTCTATCCTCACCGTCGTTGTCTCCGGTCATCCTCACCAGCATTTCTCCATGGCTTCTCCCTCCGTCAACGCCGCCGTGGGGCACTCCACTGGCTGTGGCCTGGATGGAAATCCATCAGCCCCTGCTCAAGGCCACCCCTTGGCTCACTCCACCTTCATCACCAGCCTGGATTTCGTTGTTTGTCCTCCTCCCGGTCATCCGTCCACCCCCAGAACCTTCATCTGCTTGTCTGTGCCATCCCTTCGCCATCCCCTCATCCTCTTTATCTTCTCTTCACGAGGCGAGGTCGCTCATACCGGGATAGTCACATGTCATGTCACATTCACGTTAGTTTGGACTCGCCATGTTTTGTCATCACCTGCCTTCGTCACTCATTTGTTGTCACGGACACCAATCACGTTCAGCTGTGCACTCATCTGTCACCATCATTAACACCCGTATGTTCAGTTCAGTTTGAGTTCAGTGTCCGGTGTTGTCTATGTTAAGTGTGTGTTGCTATCTGTTTGCCTTTCTGTTGGATCTTTAGCGAATAAACCTTTTTAATTGATTCTTATACAATGAGTCTTCCTCATCTGTCTGCCAGCAACCACCCGTGACATATGTACACAATAAGTGCACTATATCAAATGATTAATTTAAATGTTTGTACAGTAGCTAAAGACACCTAACAATATAAAGTGGGACCAACATTTTTTTAAAACATTTTTTTAATTTCTTTATTTCGTCAGATTAAACCACTACTAAAAATGACTGTCTGTGTAGTTCTTTTATTCCATTTTCTGAGAAATTACATAATTTGTCTTTGCTGTTTGTATTTCAGGGCTGTGTTTTCTGAGAATGAACCCTGAAACCTTGTCTTCTGATAGTGACCCCCCCCCCCCCCCCCCCCCCAGGTGTGGATTGTTTTCATTGTTCTTTAGACTGTGCCTTAATATGTACTTTTTTGGAAGAAATTTTACTCATGTATATTATTCCTAAGTTTTGCATGTTTCTCTAAACTCTTCCATGTAAACATAAGTCAGATCATATGTCACACTGTGATCTGTGGACTATGATACTTGCAAGGTCAACACCATGTTGTTGTAGAGATGTTGTGAACACAATTTTATGTATGCTTAAAGGGGTCAAATGATATGATAAAGTCCACTTGTAATGTTAAGAAAGTTTAAAAACAGATTTTTGCTGCTGTGTCTTTAATAATCCTTCCCTTTACACGAGCTTCTCTGATCACAAGCTGTACTTATTATACAGTATATTGTTAAATATTATATAGTTTTAAACTAAACTATCTTTCAATAACAGCCTCTTTTAAAAGTCTGCATTACATTGTGTGTCTCTCAACCCACACTGAAATGTACTGTACAAATTGTTCAAATCTGACTGAAGTTATCAGTAATAATAAACTTTAGCCACTTGTGTCTAACGTTATGGTTCTTCAGAAGCATATGCTAAGAGTAAGGTATCACACAGCCAGGTTAGCGGTTAGTTCTTCTGGTGTTAAGGAATAATAGCATCTATGCTGATTTCTCATTGGGACAGTAAACTTGGATGATTGTGTGTTGATGCATTTATCACCTCAGCAAATGGTATTTTTTGAACTGAGTAGAAAAGTTACAGTATGTTTTCTTTGTCTTATATTCAAAAGATCAATGTAAATAGGATTGCTCGTGTTATGTACAGTATAAAGTTGTTGGTTGATGTTTTCAAATGTTTTGTTTATTAATTGTTCTTGGCAACTTCTCCTTTTTCAGGCATCCTAACTGATCATTTACAGTTCTGTCATGACAACTCTCGGAGTGTTTGTCATGGTAATGGATATGACAATGTTGTATGTTTGGTCTTGGTGGAATAGATCTGCTACGCTGCTGCTGTATGTTATTGCTGCTGCTGCAGAGCGAGTACGGGACGTCCTACTGCCAATACATACATGACAGGCAAATGCTACCCATGTATTCAATCAGCTGCGCCCTATAGATAATGATGTGATTACGAGCAGGTTGAGTAGATCTAGATTTTGATGACAGAACTTTGTATTTATACATGATTTGATTTTCTTGTCACAGCTGTTTTGTAATATTGTAATACTGTGTTTCAGGACCTTTATCAGTCAATCACACTGGTCAATAAAGAGTATTTATTGGACTGGAGACATTTACACTCTTCTGTTGTTCAGTTTTGAATATTTTCCCTTTCAAACCCTGCAACATGGGATAACATCTGGATGTTCCTCAGCAGATTTTAGTGTTAGTTACTGAGGAGGAGGAGGAATAGAAGGACGGAGTACAAGGTCTGGAGGGCCTGAACAGATACGTGGTGGAGGGAAGGGGCAGATTGGATAAACAGAGGGGGGTATTTTTACAAAGCCATGGCATGGGAATTCATGATATCCCTCAGATGCTGATTCTGGAAACCCTGAAGGGCCTTTTGGACAGTGTGGATGTTCTGGACGGCCCCTTTGGCCAGGTGTTTTCTCTTTGTGGTCATGGCCTGCATGTTCTGGACGGCCCCTTTGGTCAGGTGTTTTCTCTTTGTGGTCATGGCCTGCATGTTCTGGACGGCCCCTTTGGTCAGGTGTTTTCTCTTTGTGGTCATGGCCTGCATGTTCTGGACGGCCCCTTTGGTCAGGTGTTTTCTCTTTGTGGTCATGGCCTCCATGTTCTGGACGGCCCCCTTGGTCAGGTGTTTTGTCCTTGTGGCCATGCCCTGCATGTCCCGGGCGATGGGGGTGATCATGCCCTGGTTGATGTCCTGGATGGCGGTGGGGTGGAAGCCCATGGAATTTACAGTCTCTCTTTGACTGAGCGGGGTGTTGCATTGGATGAGTTAAGTTCTGGAAACAATTAGAGCACAATAATTACATAGCTAGAGAGGTGAAAATAACTGGGACTTACTGTTCCAGTTTAAGTGTGTTATCGAGATGTATACCTGAGCTTCATAAACTTTACATTCCACGTCTACACGTTCAACCCCTTTTACCGGAGTTCCGACCTTAGAGGACTCACAGAACCCATACCGCTAGAGAAAGACAAAGGGAAAGAGAGGTGTTCAAAACTACAGATCTTGAAGGAACTGAAGAACTGTATGAAGTTGTGTATTAACACTACTGGTTAATATGGTGAATATGGTGCCTTGGACCGCATGTTAAGGCTGGAAGTGGTCAGGATAGTGTGTGAGGGAACGATCCCTTTGATCAATGAGAAGGAGATGATTGGCTGGTATGTCCATCACTAATTTCTTTACTCTGTAGATTGGTTCTTCTGTAACGGCTTGTTTAATGGCTTGTTTTCTTTGAACTAGTCTGACATAAAACTATGGGAGTTATGGGAGTAAAATAGCCCAAAATCTCAAAATTGGCCAGTGACTTAAAAGACAATGGTTCTGGCTGTAGTGTCTTACTTTAATTATAGTAATTAATTAAATAAGTTATAAAGTAATGCATGTTGTGTGCACTTACAGCCTGATCCCCACATAAAGCCTTGCATGCTTCTGGACTCTTGGATGCTTCCTCCTTTGAACAGTTTGTCTCCATAATGGCAAATTCACCAAAAAAGCTTTGACCGAAACTCATCCACTAAGAAAACAGGCAAATATTCTGTTAACATGCAGTTGCAAACCACATGCAAGCAAAGAATGTTTAAAAAAATGATGTTGTAATGACCGTATTCAAACTGTTGTCCGTTTGAAAACGAACCTTGGATTATACACACCCATTTCGAAACGCATAGTTTCAAATATTTCAAATGCATTTTTTATTATTATATTTCTTATAGTGGTGATAATACAGGAAATAATACAGATATAACTGAAATACGGGACGCTGGATACGTCTTGCAGGACGCAGGACAAAGCTCTGCATTTTCACCATAGATAGAGCATTGACCTTTTAGCACCATTCACAGGACGTGACAATTCAGAACTGCGGTGATACGCAAAACAACCAACGTAATAAAACGCTGCCAGATTTACACATGCATCTGTGTCTGATAAAACTGAACACACTTGTAGCAACACTCGCTGGACATTTCAATTTGAAACTGTCACAAAAATGACGAATACAGACTGCCACCTGCTGGATTGGAGAGTTATTTTCTCTCAGGCATGTGCATAATGTACATGCTAGCTGGCCGTTGACTGTAGTCTTTGCACTGTGTGCACTTTTTAGCCCAGACACTGACGTGAGGGGACAACACAGTCAGCTTTTGACGGCGCTAGTGTTATTAAATTTAATATTCACATTGCGGAAAACTGTTCAATTTTAACTAGCTTGCTCAGCAAGATTCTTTTCAAACTGTTGCTCTATAACTTGGGGGGTATTTAAGCTGCGTTACAAGTTGCATTTTGACAACTTTGGAATGGAATGACGCGTATAATTGTGTAATTTCCGTTTTCCATTTGCATTCATGTGCTTGCATAAAATATTGAAGCTTGATCCGAGTTTGAAAGACGTCACCTGTGTGCTGATCCTTCCCACTTCCAGCAGTTTAAAGTAAGATGCATGACTGGATTCCTTGTTGAATTTCTGCAGGGCAGTTTGCACACTCTCCAGACCCTTCGGATCATGCAAGGGCAGTAGACTGGGGCAGTCAGGGCATTTTGTCACAAGTATTTTATGTGAAGCTGGAACAAAATACAAAACTATGAGCAATATACTGTACAATCACTATGTGAAATGTAACTTAATTTGACTTTGCATTATAATTTTACATGAGTTGCATTACCTAATTTCTGTACTCTTTGAAAAAGTGAGCTTAAACATTACTATGGGTTCTTTGAAAGGCTAGAGCTTCGATCTACTAAGTAAGTAAAGTGTCTGCAGCAGAAGACAAATGCTTCTGTTGATGTGTTTACAGCACCTGCTTCAGTGTCACAGATGTAGCGCTTCACGGCTGCCTTTCCCTTAACGCTGGAGACAGTCACATTACATTTTGCGGTCACTTTCTATTAAGAAAACATTAAACGGCTGTTAGTTAGATGTACCACTCACAAAAGTCACTCTATTAAGAGCAATAACAGGCAGTATATCTGATTCTGTGATGTTCAACTCACCGTCTGCGCTTCGCTTCTAGTCATACACTGATCTACAGGTTTGGGACTGGCAATGTGGCAATCAGTTTCCTCTAAGGTAATTCCCAAGACGACCTCACAAGGATCCATCTGCACAGAAACAAGTTTGCACATCATAAAAAATTTTTTCTTTTATCTTTTTTCTTGTATTATGTTGTTGAAATACTCTTCATAAACTAAAAAAGCAATTGTACACTCTTTTGAAACTCTGAAAACAGAAAAAAATTCTCACCTTCTTCTCTGCAGTGCGACTGTCCAGCGAGACAAATTTGAATTTGTATCCATGGCGGTGATGTTCATTAATGAACCGCTCGGCAGCTGACGTAACATTTTTGTCCTGATCTTCCTGGCACTTGTACCTTACATCACTGTCTTTATGGAGGCTGGCCGCGTGTAGAGCCGAGACCAAAGCTGCTAATATCACCAGCTCTCTCATACTGCAATCTTCAACCGAGTAAAAGTTCTCCTCTCTCCTCCAGACCTTTATAATATACACCGCAGGGGGACATAAGCAAACAATTTAGAGCCAGAGTTGCTTGCCAATGTCAATGATGTCAAAAACAAATATAAAAGAGAGACGTGAGTGCATGTCATGTGAGAGAGGATAGGTAACTCAGGCTAACTATTAAGCAGAAATCACCATCACTTTGAGGTTTTGTTGGAATTAACGTACACTGAAAAACATTTGGTGTAGGAACAATAATTTGGGGTTACACTTTATTTTAAGGTGTCTTTGTTACACTGTAATTATACATTTAAGTACTGAGTAAGATTAATTAACTACATATTAAGTATTTACTATAGGGTTAGGATTAGGGTTTGGTTTGGTTTGGTTTAGGGTTAGTTGCATTATGTATAATTTACAGTTATTACTATAGTAACTACATGTAACATGTGTAACAATGACACGGTCTTACCCAATTTTAAATCAGAAATTGCTTGTATATATTTCACAAATTACAAAGAAACGGCAAGTAGCACATTGAATTATACGTGAAATAGTTGAAATTTTTAAGTATATAAAGTTGAAACAGTATTTTCTAAAACCATTGAAAAATCATTTTATGCTGTGTAGCTTTTGTGTTTCTAAATTATGATTAATGGGTCATGCTGCAGTTACGATTGCTGTCACTCCAATAAATGCTTTAACACTTTATAACTCAATTATTTACAATTCTTTTAATTTCTATAGTTTTTGCATCTTCAGTGCAAATCATGCATACAAATAATTTATTATTATATATATTAAATAAGTGTCATTCATTTGATGTCATTTCTGTTATGCTAGGGCTGTCAATTGATTAAAAACTTTATTTATTATGTATCATACATTGTGTCTGTTGAATTACATAATGTGGTTATTCAAATTAACTGCAATAAATTGTAAAGCATTGAATGTACCGCTCCAAAATTGGCTGACAAAAGTCCCTAAATGATAGACAATTCAAAAACCTAATATTATTGTCGCAGATAAGTGCATTGAAAAGGTGTAACAAAAAGTGACTTTAGAAGTCAATATAAAGTTTTTTAATTTCCATTTCATTCAACATACACCTGTCAGTGCACTGTTAGACCTTACCAGGCTTTTTTACAGTAAAATACTGGCAACACTGCCGCTAGTCATTTACTGTTAATTGTACAGTTATTTACTGTAATCTACAGTATGTTACTGTAAAAATTTACTAAATTAAAACTAAAGTTAACTAATTTCACTTGCAGAAACCAACTGCCTTGACCAAGTGTCATTTAAATTTATTAACTAAAATTGGTCATGAACAAATAATGTGAGCAAAAGTATTACTGTGAACTTATTTCATTTGATAACACTAAAAAAAAATTGTACATTAAAAGATTTCCACTGGACCAGCAACTACACAGTCACCGAATGTTAAATAAAGCAACATGCAACTTCCCCTGGACTGAAGCACAGGCTCCACTCTTCAGCACAATGGTGACCCAAAAAACAAAATTTACAGTAGTTTACAGTAAACTATAAGTTAACTAAGTTATACCCATTTTATAACTTAATATTACTGTTAATACATTTTGTGGGTGCGTCTTTTTATCTTACACTGTTAAACCTTTAAACCCCACAGGAAAATCCACACTACTAAGACTAAAAAGTAACATTGACAGTGTTGCAGTGATATAATTAAGGGAATATGTAGATGATTGTTGAGCATTAGTGATGAACGACTGCTGTTAACAAGCAGAAACCCTGAAGTCAATTCAAGTCAAGTCACATTAATTTATACAGCGCTTTTAACAATATAGATTGTTTCAAATCGGCTTTACAGTGATAATAGGAAATTACAGTAACAGAGATTGTTTTGGCTTCACAGCAGCTCTAGAATAAAGTTATTGTCCAGCTAAAGTTAGTTTTGATTGATTCACTTCCTTTGCAACGATCATTAGTTATTAACTTAGGGGCCGCTAACACAACACCGTTCTAACAGAAAAACCCTAATGCGATCCGGCCGCTCATTCACACAACATTTGTACAAAAAAGTGCCTGGTGGCTCGAGAACGCAAACCATGAAATAGTTTCCAAGGTACAAGCCTAGCCACGTGAGATTGTCACGTGAGATTGTCCCGACAACGTTTTATCTGTGCAGAGGTAAAAGGAAGGAGGCCTTCACAGGGAGAGACTATTGACACTTCAGGACTGCGTTGTCGTCGCGTCCAGACGCAGGTCCTTCATTAGATCTGGAGTGTGTGTGTGTGTGTGTGTGTGTGTGTGTGTGTGTGTGTGTGTGTGTGTGTGTGTGTGTGTGTGTGTGTGTGTGTGTGTGTGTGTGTGTGTGTGTCCAGGCGCAGGTCCTTCATCAGATCTGGATACGGCCTGGATCCGGCGGACTGCGGTAAACCTCGGGATAAACAGAAAGACTAATATAAGATTGTCATGTTTGAGCTCTAAGACTATGTGCTATGAAGGAAAGAGAAAGACAAGAACAGAAAATAGAGAAACACAAGAACTACAACTGACTTCCAGCCATTACACAGTATTACTTATTATTACCCAGTATGACTTCATTTCTGTTATACATCTACATAAGTTGTTATTGAGATGTTATTTAAAATGTTTGGTTTGAAGTCACCATTATGGGGATCGGTGTTTGCTTTAGTTGCGATGCTGAACCTTTTAACATTAGTTTCCTCTTGCTGCTTGAACTGTTTTTTTGTTGTTTTTTTTTGCATGCCATACATGTGCACACACACATGGTTTGTGAATGCAGTTTGTTATATTGATTATGATGACAAAAACTCATATAGCCTGTTCATTCACTAATCTTATTCAGAGTTTAATCCTGTATCAAAAGTGTCTCATTACCACCTCTGTGAAACTACAGTAATGAGTTAAAAAAAATGTAACACATCATGAACAACCAAAGAAACAGAGTTACAGTGTCTTGCAGAAAATCAGCACATGTCTCTCAACAATGGTGGCAATAATTTTGTTATTTATTTATTCATGCAGCAGTGCATGCTGGGAGTTTTATACTATCCTGGAACCCAGCATGCATTGCGACATAAAACTTTTGATTGTCACCATTGTTGAGATTCATATGCTGATTGTTGATATCTGTGTGTGTCAAGCAGGAGTTAAAAATGTTTTAATGCACTATATGATTTCAATATTCTTCAGAATAACTGACTGCAGAAATATTACTGGATTTAATGTTGTAGATTAACAGATATATGATAATATTAAATACTCATAAATTAAGCTTATATACAGGATGAGATCAGAGAATCAGGATGATTATAGCATCATCACAACAGCCGTAAACACCTGATCAACTTGGCTTTTTCTTGCCATAACAAATGTGCTTTATAAACTCAGTTACAGCAGCCAGAGATAAACTAATATTATAAAAACTTTATTATATTCAATAAAACATCAGCAACTAAATACCTGTTAATTATCAACAAGAACTTTTGTACATGTATGAAATAAATCATGTTAAACTGGTTTGTAAACTGGTTTCACACTCAGTGTGGCTGGAAGTCAGTTGTAGTTCTTGTGTTTCTCTTTTTCTGTTCTCGTTTCTCTGTCCTTCAGTGATTCTGCTTATCAGGTGTTCATCCGTGTCTCAATTCACTCACTTATTTTCATTCAAGTGGACTGTATTAATGAGCTAATGTAGGGAATAGTGAATGAGGGTATAGGGTGTGATTTGGACACAGCCTCTGAGTGTCGACTTTGAGCGTCGTTAATTCACAGTATATTCCTGTAGGCTACTTTCTCGAAAACTAAATCCCAGAATGCATTGTTTTCTATGGCATATTACTGTTTTAATGGAAAATGGTATGATGCTGTCAGAATTTGACCTTTTATTACAGCAAGGGTTAACAGTGTGGCCTGTAGTCCATGGTAATCCATTTTGCAATCAAGCACTGACTTTGGACTCATGGGGGTGGCACTTGAAGCTTGTTTTAATTATAGAAAAATTACGTAATACAGAATATTAGTTAAATATACAAGTTTCTGTATATAATCAAGTTTGCATGTCTATGTGTTTGTCGTGTTTTAATGCAAAAAGGTGTTTTTAATGAATAGATAAGTACTATAATATATTATAACTGTGTTACAATTATGAGACCATATTATAAAGTGCATTAAAAGGCATAATTAATGCATTAAAATGCTTTTATAATGAATTATATAAAAATGCTTCAAGTAAAGCGTTACTCAATGCTCTTCAGTGTAATGTGCACACGTGTTCTACAGTAAACAATCTGTTATGAAAAAGTAAACAAAACAAAAGATTATGGTTGTTTGAACTGTAAGGCAAGATATGTACTGAAGATGCCATAGGCAACCACTAAATGCTGTTGGACATTTTTTTTCCAGAATGTTCTACAATTGTAAAAAATTAAGCATATCTTGGTAGTTTAATATTTTTGGACATGCATTTTTGCAAACTGTTTTAAAACCATTATGTATTATATAGGTTTGCTTTTTGGAAAAGCACAGAAATCAATTCTAGCATTTTTGTTTTTGTAATACCGTCTTAAAATCAACTTCATAATGGAATGTGTCAGTGGTGTTTCTGGCTCCCAATACCTTTTAACTGGTAAAAGAAAAAGGAAAAATCATTTACCTATTACCTATGAAATTAGAAAGAAGATTAATTAAACAATTGTTCCCGGTTCAATACAAGCTTTATGTGCTGCATAAATATTATTACCACAGAAAATACATGCAATCCACATGAAACCATACAATGGTTTAAAAGACTTATTCTGTTATTTGAGGCAAAAACAACAAAACAATCATGGATATTTCTTTAATCGTGGGGGTGTTAAAGTGAGTGGTCAGCACTAACAGATGGAGAAAATCAATGTGTTATCCACACTGAGTAGAGTACAGGTAAAGTTCACCTCCAACAGCCAGTGAAAGGGCACTTGCATCATTTGGAAGGCAATTATTTGCTAAACTCTGGGAAACAGAATCTGCTGTTACTTT